ATTACATTTGTACATCAGAAGAGCAGAGATCTTTTTTAGGCATTTTCTTAGGCAAAATATGTGTACCAAATTTTTTCTTGGCATCTTCAATTTAAAGGTAATACGTTCAAACGTCCCCAAATCATTTAGACGCTATTCATGGATATCTGCTGCTTCTCTAACATTACAGCACAGCAGCTAAATAATCCTAAACTCAGTCATTTGCTTAAATAGAACTCTTTTTAAAAAAGCAGACATGCAGTGCAGACTTTATTAATTTCATAAAAAGGGAGCTATTTTTATCAGATACACATGTTAGACATTATGAACAAAGGGTTTCAAGACATGAATGACATTGTCTGTAGCCCGAATGCTGATGTTCCAGCTAGAAGGAGCAGGCGGTGAGTGAGTGTGAGGCTGCAGGTGTTTGTCAGGACAGAGATGTGTGCGGAGCAAGTCCAGAAGAGGGAGCAGCTAAACCAGAAAAGCAGTGTTCGGAGCAGATGTAATTAATTGTCCACAGAAGCCCTATTTTAAGGGCTCTGTGTCATATCTTGCTGCTGGCTGCTAGCCTTTCTTATTCTGATTGATTCTTTCCACTGCACGAGTTCTAAGAGTTTTCCAGACAATAGAATACTGGAACATTTCAGCTAGGGACAGTGCAGTGTGCATGATGGCACAGGCCAAACGTGGGGTAACTTGACAACACTTGATAAGCTCAGTGTGGGCTGTGTTCTACGTTGTGGTATAGAGGTGTGGGGAGATGATTTGAGGAATAGATATTAGTCAAATCATGTGGTGTGCTTAGGATTTGGGCGTTGTACAAAGAACAAGGTGTTATTTAAACTGGAATAAGATGATCAGATTTGTGTCTCACGTAGAAATTCTTTTGACAAAATAAGCATTGAATTGGAAGGAAACAGGTTGGTGGCCAAGAAAGACTTTGTAATCAATTCCTAAATTAAGGAATTTTTTTTTAAAGGGTAGTTAATTGTTTGCTTCCTTGGTATATACCCTTTTTATTATATGTTGAATAATTTATCATTTAAAAATCCCCAAGAAAGAAATCTTAAAAAGTATTCAGTGATCAGTGAGCATTTTCTGTTAATCCTGTTACTACATTTTTCTAATGTTTTCTTAGTTGCAAGGAAACTTCTGCTACGCATTTGCTGAATCTAAATTTCTATTATGTTGGTGTAATTTTATTCTTTCGTTGTTTGAGTGTTTGAAATCATCATAAATCACCGTAAAGTTCTGTTAGCCCAAATTAATTATACTTACATTTGCGCTTATTTGCCAGTTTGGTGTTATAAAATTGATACGGGGTGGCCACTAAGATCCTTGATCTGTTTAATGCCATCTACTTCAGCCATATGCTCTGTCACAAGAAAATACGTTTATAATGTGAAATAATCTTGCTTACCTGCTTAACCTCTTTGAAATAGAGTTTGCATTTCTGTTTTATATTTCTTTTGATTGCTGATGTTATGTGGTGTCCTGACATTTCACTGAATTATTAATATATTTCTACATGTGCAATTACATATATATAATTTAAAAAATCGGCTTGGCGCCTGTGGCTCCATCGGCTAAGGCGCCAGCCACATACACCTAAGGTGGTGGGTTCGAATCCCCAGCCCGGGCCACCAAACAACAATGATGGCTGCAACCAAAAAATGGCCGGCACTGTGGTGGGCGCCTGTAGTCCCAGCTACTTGGGAGGCTGAGGCAGGAGACTCGCTTGAGCCCAGGAGTTGGAGGTTGCTGTGAGCTGTGAGGCCATGGCACTCTACCCAGGGGGACAGCTTGAGGCTCCGTCTCAAAAAAAAAAAAAAAGTATTCAGTATATAATTAGAAAAGTTTGGTAACTCTCTGAGTTTCTTTCTTTCTTTTTTTTGGTTTTCTACATAACTAATGGAGCAACATTTTGCCCCCCTCCTCCCTTTCTATGTGTGTATTTTCAGAATACTGTTGTGGAAGCTTCTATTCAGCTTCCTCCTTCCCTTTTCTCACCAAAGCAAAAACGAGAAGTCAGAATGACGGATGATTCTGCCTATAAGCTGCAGCTCATTGCGTTCCGCAACGGAAAGCTTTTTCCAGCCACTGGAAATTCAACCAACCTGGCTGATGACGGAAAACGACGCACAGTGGTTACCCCCGTGATTCTCACCAAAATAGGTTGGTGTGTGACACACGTTACCCTCTAGTCGCTGGACAGTACGGCTTTATAGCTGACCTTCCTCCCCCCTCCATGCTTAGTTTTATCGTTTTCTCTTTTTAATGAGTCACCAGCGAAGAAAGATCGTGCAGAGTCCCCACTCGTGCAGGAGCTGGCATTGACTTGTTTAGGAAGTTTGTTTCAGAAATATTTTTCTTCCTCATTTCCTCCAGATGGTGTGAATGTCGATACCCAGCACGTCCCAATTAATGTGACGCTGCGTCGAATCGCGCACGGAGCAGATGCTGTTGCAGCCCAGTGGGATTTTGGTTTGCTGAATGGACAGGGAGGCTGGAAGTCAGATGGCTGCCGCATCCTGCACTCGGATGAGAACGTCACCACCATCCAGTGCTCCGCCCTCAGTAACTACGCCGTTTTAATGGTATGGCCATGGTTAACTTTACGCATAAACACTCAGCATTCTGATTTTTCCCTATGCATAACTTTTAACATAATTTACTCCTTTGAATTATGTAAGGGGTGATGTTTGGTGTAGTTCTGATTAGAAAGGGAAACTGAGTTACTGCCAAGTGAGATGTATGGGATTACATTTCATATAAGAAGTTTCAATAAACCTTATAAGGGAATCAATTCTTGGACTTTAAAATTTAGAGAGGTCTTGGATGTACAAAGACAAATTCTCTACACCTAGAAAGAGTGATTTATTTGCTCAAAGATACATAGTGAATAATGAGAGATTTTCCTCCTGTACCTTCTTGGGACCAGTTCCCCCTCCATATCATAATTATTAGACCCTATTTGAATTTAAAATTAGCAGTGATAATTTCAGATTTGTCATTGCAAGTGACTGCATTGACACAAAGAATATCTTTTTTTTTTTTTTTTAAGAGACAGAGTCTCACCTTGTCACCCTTGGTAGAGTGCCGTGGCGTCACAACTCACAGCAACCTTCAGCTCTCAGGCATAGGTGATTCCCTTGCCTCAGCTTCCCAAGTAGCTGGGACTTCAGGTGTCTGCCACAACAGCCAGCTATTTTTTGTTGCAGTTTGGCCAGGGCCAGGTTTAAACCCACCACCCTTGGTATATGGGGCTGGCGCCCTACTCACTGAGCCACAGACGCCACCCGACACAAAGAATATCTTTCCAGTATTAATGCCAATCAGGCTAATGTTGTTTTCTGTTATTCCCTTGTTAACAATCTGAGTATCCCTTTATCTAAAATGCTTCAGATCAGAAGTGTTTCAGGTTTCAGATATTTTTGGATGCTGTAATATCTGTATTCTGTTATACTTACCAGTTCAGCATTCCTGATTTGGAAATCTGCAATCTGAAATGTTCTATGGGACATTTCCCTTGAGTGTCATGTTGGTTTTCTAAAAGTTTTAGAATTAGGCTTATTTTGGATTTGGACTTTTGGACCTGGGATACTCAAACTGTAATCCTTTTGGTAGAATAACTGGTTATTAATGTACAGGAACAAGTCTTATTAATAATGAGGTATTTAAGCCATTCTGACTCCTGAGATAATTATGAAATTAACCATGCTAGTTGTTATTTTACATTATAGTTATTAGAAGATAATGACATCATGGAGTACATTTGGAGTGTAGTGGAAAGAATTACTGATCAGTCTGAAAGACATTTCCCAGAAACAGTTTGACGTTAGGCAGGGTGTGAGGACTTCTGTGCTTCTGTTTCTGATCCCAGGTATAAATCTGTTATCCAGATAATATTTTATCAAAGTACTCATCTTGGACTAATAAGTTACCCCTAAAGTCTCAATGCATAGGGAAAATGGGAAACTGTAGCTACATGTACCTTTATTTACAAGACATTCATTAATTTTGTAGAAAATATTTTTGTAGGGAATATTTCTCACACGTAGAGAATATTTTGCAAACCTTTGTAGTGAATATTTTGTAAATAAAGGTACATTTGGCTACAGTAACCCATTTCTGCTATGTAGGATGACTTTAAGTGTGATTTTTGGGATACCCTGTATTTTACATTTTGTGAATTTTTCTTTTCTTAAAAAAACAGAATTTGCCAATTAACATGATCTTGAAGCAAGCCTGATTGTAATACATTTTCCTCAATTCTTTTTTGATTTTCTTTGCTGTTCTGTTTCTTATCCCTTCCCCAGTATACTGGTCACACAGACAGAGGAGTGAGTGGATACATACGATAAAAGGATGATCTTTTCAGCAATGTCATTAAGCCTTTCATACACCTGTAAGCAGCATATTTGAACGTGCATGGTATTCAACCTGGCTGGCAGTGGCTAGATTCTATACTAGTTAGACTCAGCTGTATTTTTTAATTTTTGGCGGGGGCCAGGTTTGAACCTGTCACCTCCGGTATATGGGGCCAGTGCCCTACTCCTTTGAGCCACAGGCCCTGCCCAACTCAGTTGAATTTTTATAAGTCTTTTATTTGTGAAGTCATTGATCCTTTGGGGCTTAACTTTTAACAATTTACAATTCTCTTCATAAATGGAAGGTGTCTTTTAATTTCTGTAAGTCTGAGTCTGGTTTCTGTCAAGTTCACATTTTGTATCTTATAGTC